CATCATGTATCACACAATAGCCATTAGGGTAATTATTTACTGGCGGAGGGTAAATGAGGTTTGGCCATGGGCAGAGCCAGCCAGCCATGCAACTAGCTTCATGTTGGCAGAGGTGTGGCACTCACCTGTACGGTAACAGAGCTAAGTGCTGGTCATTCGCTTCATTTAGAAAATATCCTGTCATCTAAACCCCACTGTCACCCCCCCCCTGCTCCTCCCCCCCCCCTTTTTTTTTCTCACACTCACTTTCAGTCATGCAGGGCACTTATTATGTCCAATCAATCAATGCTCACCCATTAGGAACCTCCCCTCAAGTATCCTCTGGATGGCCTCACACAGCAAGAGTCAAAAAATTACCTCATAATTGCTGCTCAGGCATCATAACAAGCTAGGCTGCCCTGGTGACACGGCCATACAAACAGGTCTAACACAGGAATTGATGGATACTGGAGAATCGTATTATATATTGCCATATCCAATTAGATACAGCACATAAAGCAGCGGCTCCATTCCCCTCTTCTCACAACGTCCAAACCAGTGCTCGACTATAAAGACGTGAAATGCATTTTCATATTTCCTCCAGCAGCCCCCCTTGTCTTTTGGTGTGTCAGTGCAAATGATAACATCCCGAGGATTTATTGTACATTTGACACACCAGTAACCAAATTATAATTCAGTTGCTGCTGCGGCATATTCATAGAACCACAGTACAAATCGCACAGAGAGAGTGTTCAGTCAGCATGTATTAGTGCGGAGCGGTTGGAAAGGTCAACAGTTAGATGTGACACTGAGGTTTGAAGTAACGCGTGATGAGACCCACTGTTACTGTCAACACCTGAAATGGAAGGGGTTCTCATTACACGAAAAGCTGTATTTAATACACATCCCACCACATGTTGAGCTGCAGCCTGTTTCTTCTCAAAAAAAAAACCCCAATGATAACAGTATGTAAGAGATCAGACATGTTCAAGACCATTTGTTCCATATGCACATGTTTTTATCTTGTGCAACTTTTGAGGCATAATTGTTCTACTTCTTAAGGAGCAATTTGCAGAATGAGCTTTACAAATTAAGTTAAATGCCTGATTCATTTAGGAGTAATAGCATTAATGTCATGGTAAGATGGAGCAAAAAGCTTAGATGAATAACCGTACAACTGCCTCTGTCATACAAAAACTGTGCAGTAAATCAAGATATCATCACGCATGTGTTAACAAGATTACTGAACTGTTTTTTTTCCCTCTAAATAATAAGTCATCTACTAAGTTCAGCTTTTACTTTAATTTTGTATTTTAAAGATCACATTTACATTAGTATACTCGTATCTGTCAGTCGGAAACAATTAGTGTCATTTTTCTGTTGTTTTTTTTTTTTCTGTCTTTTTATAATTGAATGTTTCACAAGTAAAGACAGTGACAGGTGTTGATTAGAGCCAATCACATCATCCCACCACTCTTATTTATAAAGAATATACGGTAAATATATATATATATATATATATATACAGTATATTCTTTTTCCAGAGGATGCTGTTGTCATCTGGCATGCTGCAGTCAATTTGAGCGTGATTGACAGATACATCCAGGTTCACAGTTTATTGCTTTCTGAGGAGAGAGCCAGATATGCCAATTTAGACAGGAAAGTGACAAAAAAGTTTCCATCTAAATAGAATAATTCTGCTTCTGGGAATTCTCTGCTGGGGAGAGGAAAGAGTCAAGCTCCCCCACCCCTCCTTCCTTTAACAAGGGCTGTGAATGACAAACATACACGCCGGTTAGAGGCTGACAGAACATAAGCTTTTGATGCTTCACAGGGGAGCTATGAAATAAACAACAGACAGAGAAATTGAATTACAAAGCAAAAAGAGGGTCGCTCCTTGTGGACCCAGAGGCAACAGAGTGCGCCAAAAAACAGCCCAGCTTACTATGTTTTAGTGGAGCTCATTTTCTCTTTTCACAGGGTTAAAATTTAGAGGGAAATATACAATAGAAGTGTAGAAATCCACCACTGTGACTTAGAAACATAGAAAGCAAATAAATAGGTAGAAATTATTATAATTTTCTTCCTTTTTTATTTTTTCAAAACACATACCGGTACTTAAGTACATTCACATTTGCATAAGCCTCGTGTGAGTACAATCCACCACACGCTTAACATCGGAAAGAGAAACAAATCTATCAGGTCAGCTTTAAGAGTTGACCAAGTCGATCCAATGTTTCTTCTGCCTCATATTGAGCAAATATTGTCTTCACACAAAAGGTTTTGAGTTTTCAAGTTTTCACACAGCAATGTAAGACTCTCTCTTGACATTTCATACCTCTGCTATCCATGCAGGATCAGAGCATCAAACCCCTACTTTAACATTAAAAGGTAAACTTTTGGTATGAAATGAATGTCTGAATTACCAACTAAAAAGCTCAACAACTTTATTACACAGTCCTCTTTGGTCTGACATGATTTCAAATGTACACGACCCTGCTTTATCAGTCGTTCCCACAGCCCAAATCCTTTGCAAATCGCGCGGCAGTGCTAATCAGGACAGTGTCCACTTGTTGTAAATCAATAATGATATAACTAAGTCATACAAGGCGGCAGTGGCGGAGGGATTACGCAGCCAAGAAAGAGTGAAAATAAGCTCTGAGAGGGATTTCATGCATAAATCTCTCCCTGCAACTTAGCACAAATTGAATTCAGGCTCACTGCTAGAAAAATTAATTCAGCTTTACAAAGCGAGGAGAGGTTAAACACTTTATGTGCTGCTCAGTGATCCAAATCATGGAGAAAACATTTAGAGGCATTCTCACTGTAGCATGCGGGCACCATGTGATCTTTAAAAGTAAATACATTCATCCCAGATAGTTTCATGACTTACCTGAATTCTTCTTTTTAGTTTTGCTCATCAGCATTCAAAATAAGTAATCTGTCACAATAAGCAAATTTATGGGACACATTTTCCTGTGTCCTGTCCTGTGTTGGTTGGAATCCATAAACAGCTATCAAATTTAACAAATCAATTAAAAAGTGTATTCCCAGCTATTACGATGGGTATAATTACAACAGCCAGAACAATTACAGCTCCTGATTAATACATGTGTGAATGCAGTGGTAGTCATGGCTTCCATGCTTAATAGATTAAAAGGAAGTTTGGAGACAAACTTTCTCCTGAGACATTTTCTTTGAGCTATACAAATGTGGTGCCTTCTACAACTGTGTGAATCTGACATGTGGACACTTAAAATATGTTTTTTTTCCTACAAAATATGTTGTAATATTGATTAAAAATGAGAATTTATTCATATCATGTACCAAACTTTATGGAAACAAGTTTAAAAAACTGACACCTATGGTTTAAAATGGCTGTAATTTAAACATACTGTATATTTCTGCATTAGTAATAAGAGTAAAATCGTATTATTATGAAATACCACTTTGAGAGCCATGTTGACAGCAGGAGAGGATTAGCAGTAACAAAGCCACTCGTCTTGATTCAAAGGAGTCCCAAAAGATCACGTTATCTGTTTCATCGTAACAGATTATAGAATTCTATGAATTATTATTTCTGATGTTTTTTGCGCATCAGGTTATTTGACCATGTATAATGTAGGACAGACTAATCTATAACAGTACATTACATTTTACACCCTGAGAATACTTTAAAATTGAACATTTAATATAATATTGCTCTTAAGTATTTACAGTTTATCTAAGTATTATATAACCTAACCTGTTGAGGAGTGAAAGGTTCTGTGTATTCCCCAGTAGCACATTAAGAAAATTGTACCTAAATGAGGTATGGACTTATTAGACTTAGTTTACGACAGATATTTAGTGCTTTTATATGAAGGATTTATGTAGTTGTATGCTTGATATCATTGTTCTGACAGATAACGCTTACAGTGTTGCTCATGTTAATTCATAATGGGGGTTAAAAGGGAGCAAAACTGGGAGAACAGTTGAAATATATAAAAACATGATGTTTTTGCCCATTTGGTAAAATACGTTTTTGACTCCAAATAAGGACCACAAGTTATGATTATTATTTTTTTGTTCATTATTATTATTTTTTTAGATAAACGTATAACTCCTAAAAAATATTCCAATGTTATGTTATAAGTAGAGTGAAATGAATTGTTTAAGCAGACGTCTTTAAATGTCTTGATTTACCGTCCAAAGCCTATACAGTAGAAATTTTAATTCAATTATACAATAAAGTCAAAAGATCCCAATCCTCACACTTCAGAAGCTGAAAGTATTATGCTGAAGTTGCATCTGGATTTTAACTTAACTGATCATTTGTTTATCAGTATGTCTTTGATATTCCTCTTTTTCTAGCTCTATTCCAGACACTCAGAAAAACAATGCAGCACTTTTTTTCTTTTTGCTTAAAAGATTTCAGACACTTTTATTATTGTACAAGTGAGACCAGCATAATGAAAGTGATAATATCCATGAACATGAAAGACATTTTTTCTTACTGTATTTACAGAGAAGTGTCTTCACATCACACACAAAAAAATCCTTCTATAAAATGAACAATTTGTAAATAACATAATTAAATAAAGACCTACCTTTAGGTTTACAGCTGAATATGCATATGATGACCATCTCTGCACTGCATAGAATTTATACATATACTTTTCCTCATGAACAACGTGAATTTTTCCTAATAATAATAACAATCATAATAATACTGCTCTCATGATGCATAAAGGCGGCCTGTAAATTAACAATAACAAGAACTAAGTCTTTGGCAAATGCAAATACATTCACTTGACAGATGAAGAAACAATAATTCCAGCTTGATTCAAAGAAATAACCCGGACTGAACATGTGAGGGAACTGAAAGTTAGGTAGGTAATGTTTAAGGCATTTAGCTGAAATCATCACCCTGCTTTTTTAAAAACTTTATTAGAGGCCTGAGAATCATCCAATCAGTGTGACTGTGGACGCTTCTGGCAAAATGTTTCTTACTGTTTCAAATTGGAATGGCTTTAATATTGTTTTTTTTTTTCTGGGGTTGAATGCCAAAGACTTAATCGAATAAAATTAAAAACATAAGCTGTGAGAACATAGTAGTGCACGTCAAGGCAGTAACATGATGGGCCTCGAACAACAGGAAAAACTGTGAAGCTTTAAGTGCCTTTTCAGACGCAGACTTATTAGACTTACAGTCAGATCAATGAAATTAAGCAAAATATGCATCATCATTTTTCAGCATAATAACGCTCCAGTGTTGCAAACCTCCAAAATAGTGCAAAAATAACAAACAAAAAAACACAGTCTGATGACATCTCGTATCCTGACAAATAAGAAAAAGTCAAACACTAGCCAAGCAGTGTGCAGGTTAGGAATTGTAAAAATGAAATTAAAAAATTATTTTAAGAATATATTTACTAGTTTCTTGAAATCTTGCAAATAAGAAGCCATGTTGATATACTGTCATGGCTCCCTCTATTTTCCCAACAGATGTTTCTTTATTAATTTCATTTTCATTTTTACATCTTGATTGTGTATCACAGAGAACATGTCCTAATCTTCTCATGGCATCAAAAGCGATCGGTTTAGTCATGCTGGATGTTTGGTCGGTGACTGATCAGATTGATAAAAAAACAGTGTTAGCCTGCCACAGCCTGAGTGTGCTGCTTCTAATCTCCTCTGATCTCACTGTGCTGCCATCTGAATCGAGGAGGGGATGAATGGTGAAAGGGGGGGGAAAAAAAAGGCTGCTGCTACATTTTTAAGCTGTGGACAGGGTCCCTGCTGAGAGCCGTCTAGAAAAGGAATGTACAGTATTGATCCATGATGGGATGAAACTGTGACACTGCTTCAGGATGGAAATAAAATCTGTTTATTTTGTTGTCAGTCTTTTTTTTATTTTATTATTTAACCAGCTGCATTTAGTAACAGTTGTCATAGTGTGTAGCGACTCTCAGTGTCTCTGGTGCTGTCTTGTAGATTTTTTTTGGCTTTGAGTGTCCAAAGAAGCTTCATGGAGGGAGAAGAGAAGTCGTCTGGAGTCCCAAAAAAATCTGTTAAGTGTCTCATTGTCTGAGCCGAGAGCATGTTATGCGCAGTTGCTCAGTGTCCAGTGGACCATGCCGCTCACACCGGGGCAATATGGAGGCTAAGGCCATGGTCCTGCAGGTTGATTTGGTTTCCATGGTAACTAGTGACGGTCATAGGCAGTGGCAGCAGTGGGAGGGGCGGAGCCTCTCGATGCGGCACTATAATAATAAGGGGAACCTGAAAGTTAACAGAAGAACGAACCATTTGAAACAACAACAAATACAGTCTTTACTACAATTTAGCCCAAAGAATAATCATTGTTAAAAGTTGAATGGTTGATTAGCTCTTTTTTCAAAACTAATAAAGGATGAAAGTGGTGGCTGAAATGTTTATAATCAATGTACCGTTTCCTAAGCCCCGCCTCCTTTTATCCTTTTGCTATTCTTTAAACCTAACCAGTATTTTATAGCACAGCCAGTTCTTAAAATTATTTCATTTTTTTTACGTTTTGTCTAGCTGTTTTCTGAGATGGACCTTTCTTTTCCTGTTTAGTGTAAACAAATGTATAGTTATCTGCACAAGCAACTGCAAAAACAAAATCCACAGATGATTTTTTATTATGATCCAACTTTTTTTTCTTTAAAACGTAATGAATTATATTGAATTAACAAGACTAGGCTACGAATCCTAAAGAGAATAAGATAGCATCTTCTGCTAATGTTCCATTTACATACAATAACAACACAGTTCCTCCTTGGTAGGACAGGGAGTTAAGATAACATGTTTGGCTACTTCGCTTATACAATGTTTGTATTTTTTAAACTCAAGTTTTCACAAATTGGTTAGGTTAGTCCTAACCAAGGGCCTTTTTTTTTTTTTTAACTGTTACACCTTATGATAATTTAAGTTTTGAAATATGCTTCTTGGGGAACAGCCTGCTGTGCAAGGTTATGGTTTCTAAGGCTGTAATTGGACCATTTCTGTTCAGGGGGAGGGGTTTAGCTAACAGTCAATTAATTGTTCTCAGTCAGATTCTCTCTATCTACTCACTTAGTAATGCTGGGTTGCTGAATCGCCAAGCTTCGTTGTAGGTTGTGTACTGTGGATGACTGTAGGGGTTCCCCGAAAACTCACTCCCTGCAAAACAAAACAACAAATCAATTAGCATTTCAATGCATCCAACCATTAGCCCTTCACATGCAGCCATTTCTCGTCATTCAAAACAGGATGCAATTTGAGGGGGAAAATGATAGTCATCGTCGTGCGACCAGTCAAGCAAGTAATTTATTTCTTTTTCATTTCACTTAAGTTATGCAACACTGAACAATACAGGATGTGACACTGAAGGCGGCTTTCCCTGTCCCATTTATGGATATCTACCCATTCTTCTTCCTGCAGTATATTCCAAAGCGCTCTAATAAATACAGAGTGGTAATAAACAGCTTCATGCATACATTTTTGATATGCTGCAATAAATCCTGCTACCCTTCTTGCAGGAATTTTAGCATCTCGGATTTGAACCCCCTTTGGGCCTGAGCTTTGGCGTTTGCTACAGCAGGATTTCATTGCTTGGGAAGTAACTTGGGGCATGTCAGTGAGCATTGCTGTTGGTTCAACACGTTTCTTTCCTTTATGAGACAATAAAGGCAAGATTTTATATGAAGCTAGTGAGAAATGGCTTTGCTTTAACAGTGTTTTGCGCCTGTCACTAAATCTTAGTGGTTGTGTAGGCTACATGATGAATGGGTTGTAACACAAAACCACAAGCCATGGGATTAAGGCCTTCATCTTTTGCTGTGTGCCACATCAGAACAAATGGGAAGTAAAAGTATGTTTGACTTGACGGTTTTTCACCAACATGATTTAACAGTTTTATTAGCCAAAATCCAAAAAGTAATCCTGGAGTGAAATGCCACTGGGTGCTCCTAGATCTCCATCTTTTGACTTTTAGCTATCTGAAGGGTTTGTCCAAAAAATGTTCAGTTGTATATTTTATTAGCAGCTTTTAACAATGACGTCAGTAAGAAATACAAGACAAAATTTGGGGCTTGACTACAATGTGCCGAAGTTTGTTTGTATGGAAAGGCTTATGTACCGCAATTGAATGATTTTTATAATGTTTTTGATCAGCAGAAAAATAAGTATAGAAACAAATGATCACGGATCGCATAGCAGAAGTTTTTCTCAAGCTCAGCCGACAAAACCAAACAGGACAGTTAAGTAACCCTTTTGTCTGAGGGTGGAAATGCAACACGTCGTGGCGGCCCGTTTAAAGGAGAAAAGAAGAACAGCCTGTGATGGGTTGTGTGATTGGTAAATGATATGCTAACACAGGACACACTCCACTGGTTTCCCCAGCCATGCTGTTTAATCACATTCAAGCAAAATGTCTGCTGTGTTTGGGTGAAAGTGTACGTGTGTGTGTGTGTGTGTGTGTGTGTGTGTGTGTGATGATGCTAGAGAGTTGTGTTTTTGTGTGTGTGTGTGTGTGTGTGTGTGTGTGTGTGTGTGTGAAGAAACAGTACCAAAAGCCGAATCCCAGCTCTGTTCCTAGCAGTGAAACACAGGCCTGACCTCCACAGAGAGATGAGATATTTGAATATTTACGAGGCTCCCATACCTCTGCCTTTTGACCCTTAACTGTTTCCTGTGAACCTGAACTGCAGGTTAAGTAGAGGAGGAGAAGGGGACATGCTCTGGAGCTCAGAGGCTGGGGAGGGCTGCTGGTTTTGTTTATTAACAACCAGTATAAACGGCGATGCGGAAGGATAATGAGGCAAGGGGAAAAGCAGGAAGAAGGAACACTGACTGTCCTCTCCACTGTCTTTGAACGCTTATTCAGCCTGTCTTATCTTATGACACACTGAGCTAATATGCGAATGTGTGCCTCATATTCAACAGACCAATATGTACTGTCTCTTTGTTTACTTTTGCTCTAAAGTCTCTTCCACTTGCTTCCACAGCGTCTGCATTTGTTTGATTTGAGGCTGATGAACAACCTGTCAAACGGACAAAAACAACGGTGTCAAGGCTGTGACGTCGTCTGTGACTCACCAGGAACCATTCCAGCGAGGGTGGAGGTCGGGTAGCTGCCCTGGCCTGTGGGGGGGACGTGAGGGGGATACCCAGGTAAGGTTGTGTTGGCCATATCTCGACCTGGAAAGACAACAGAAAACAAGGAACCAACATAAGTACTAATCTCTTCTACACAAATCTAAAAAAAGATCTGGACTTTTCTGGACTTTTGGAAGTGTTCAGGTCTTCAAGTAAAAGTAGCTATACAGCACTTCAAACCTATGATTTGTTTTTATAATGTACTCTGAAATACATTTTCAGCCCAGTACCCCCTGATCAATACAAAAATATCTCACTACAGTAACAACCTGTATGAAGAGGAAGGATGAAGCACTGGAATAAGACATTTAGACTGTACACTTTTTAAGATGAAACATTTAGCTAATACATTTGAGCAGTTTAGTGATAACATTTTGGGTATTATGTTTTAATTTGACATCAAAAAATCTCAAGTGCTCCAGCAGTTCTCTGAAGTACACCTCGGGGTTTTAGTGCCTTTATTTGAAAAGCAAATAAAAGCCTGTCTTACATAATTCTTGATTAAGTTCAATTAATCGAATAAGTTTCTCTAATGTTATTCTGAAAACCAATCCAATAAAGTAATGAAGTAAAAACAATTGTATGCCTCCATCTTTAGTGTAGGGGACATGTAGAAAGTCACGTGATGAGAAAGTACTGAAGTAGAAGTATCTCTACACTGTTGAAGAAAATGGTGCCTAATTTAATGTTTCATCACTTATGACAAACAACACAACCACCGCAAGTCAGTCTGCACAACGGCTAGATTGTTACTGTAACCAATCAGAGGCTCAGCCAGTCCGTGCCAAACGTATAGGAGAGGAGCCTTTAAACTTGTCACTAAACAACAGAAAGCCTCAGTCTCCGACAAGTGAACTCAAAACATGACAACAGCTGCTTTCAGAGAACTGAACTCCCAAGAGTTCCCATGAACATGCGTCCTCATTACACCATTCAAACCTGCCTAAATATGGCAGCCTTTGCCAGCCTGACTCCTATAAGGCACCTCTCTCTCTTTTTTCCCTCTGTGGCTGTAAAGTCCGAGCACACCGGCCCCTCTGCACAGCGTCACCCTGCAGATATTCAGCCCTGTAATTAAGAGTGACGGTTGGGCTGTCCTCGCTGACCACGAGGACGTTTGGACAACAGCACGTAACCCCAATCTGCACAGGGGCCGGGGTAAGAGAGGCCCCTGTTATATATTGTCAGCTGTGAGGGCCACTTGGACTCAAAAAGGGAAAATCCCCTTCAAATGGAGCTTTTAATGAGGAATCCGAAGATGAAACACACCATAACGCCAAAGGACAACTCAGTCGTCAGCGCCGTGTTGTCCGCTTTACAATCAAAGTCCAGATACACGCTATGAACTTCATATAGAGAGTTTATTCTCAGGGTGGTCGAAACATAGCCTGATGGAGAACTGTTAAAGTTCAGAGCTGAGAGTGAAGCTTTTGTCTGAGGAACACTTTTGATTTTAATAGTTGAGATACTTTAAAGAAAAGAGAAATACATTTTTTTTTGTCTTGTGATGATCAAGGTGATAGCTTTGTTTTGTTGTGTCATCTGTCAGTTGCATGGTCTATTTAATTTTCATTTGTGTAAGATTTTTTTGTGGAATCTGATCTAAGTAAAAGGAATACAAAGTACTTGCTGGAGCAAACCACATTTTTTTAATCTGGTAGGCTGCACCACAGAGACTTCCTCTCTTTAGTACAAAGTCATATTTCTGTTTCAATGCCAGAAACTGAATTTTGCAGACAATGAGCTTTGCTTGTGAGAGCATAAACCATAGACCAACTTAAGTTGGACTTCTGAATCATACCTGTGCAATTTCATGAGCAACTTTTTTGTTTAATTGAGGGCAAGCCAACAAGCCCTTTGGGTGTTGAAGTAGCTTCTACTACAGGCTTGCAGGCACCCTGGCTACAGTGGGGGCCACAGGGGCCGGGGAGTGAGACGGCTGGTTCAAACTGGTGAAGATGAAGGAAGGCAGGCCTGGACACAGGACTCAGGCCTGACATGGAGGAGGAGAAAAATGAGAAGGGGAAGTGGAGGGAGCTGAAGAAGCCTTTTGGTGGCTTGATGATGATATACAACATATCTATATTTTGTTTATCTTGGACTATGAAATACAAAAAAACACAAACATTCTGAAATTGCATCAACAGGACTTGTTTTTGAGGAGGTTTTCACGGGATACTTGAAACAGTGGACACAGTTGGTGCACCAATTTAGTGATGTATTTTGGGCAGAAAAAAGAGAGCAAGAAAAAAAAACAGTTTAGAACAGAATAATAATTATTTAGGTTCTTTAATTTTGAGTATTTTTCCAGTACATCTCGGATGTATCGAAATCTAGATTTCAGCATCACCAATAATATTCCAGATTAATGGTTTACACACAAATGATGATGATGAGTATGATGTAGTTGTAGAATGCATTGTTTTTGATATAAGTCATAAATAATGTAAACAATTCCTTGGGAAATTATCACCAACCTGACCTGCTACTTAATTAACATGTTGCTTTCATTTAAACCATTCAAATGTAAAAATTAATAGATTTCTTTATCTAACAATATACTTCTCTAAAAAGGGTCTTTATTGATAACATGTTTCTATTATTCTCTATTGTTTTTTATGCAGCTCTACTTCATAGATACAAATATACATTATCTGCACAAATACAAATTTTTGCAGGGCTTGTACTCATGCATTTATAATTGTGGTGACGCTTCTCTCTTTAAAGTAAACAACCTGAATACTACCTCCAGAACTAGTAGTATTTGTTGGTTTGCCAAAGTCCTAAAGTAGCAGTCAAACTAAAGTATAAAGCCAGAAAATACTGCAGAAAATACATGGAGAATCCATTTTTAAGGGGGGGTTTCCTTTACAATACATGCAAAAATGGAACGTTTCCAATTCTGATCATGGGTTTAATCAAAAGAGAAACTATTCAGTCTGATTGAACAGCTGTTTTCTGTTATTTGCAAATCTCTGCTCTGATAGCGGTATTGTGTTCGGCCTGGTGAGATGTGTCTTTTGGTTAAATCGCTGAGACTGGAGGGCTGCAGAGTTAAAGAGCTTTACAGAGTAGAGTGAGGTCATGCCGGACCTTTCATTTATAATAAGAATTAGTCAGCCACAAGCCAGTGCACATAAGTCAAAGGGAGCCGGGGGAGCACTGCAGGTGGGGGGTCCAGCAGGGCTGAGGCCATTGTGTGTGAGTGTGTGTGTGTGTGTGCGTGTGTGATGTGTGTGGGCATTGCTAACTATTGTCTAACTGTCTCAGCAAACACTGACCCAATCTTTTTTCATTATTATTGCAGCAGCTACAGCCGTCATACATGTTGAATTAAAGTAAGCACCGTTATCTCTTTATTAGCTCGTTTCAACGAGATGAAAACCATAATGAGGAGGATCCCTGCGTAAACTGTTCTGTTTCAAGGAAACATCTAGTTATTATATTCTAGAAATATGGATAACCTGCTATGAGTTCATTTTTTTGGCCGTAATGTTGCAGAATTGTAACAAAAGAGGAGAAAAAAAACAAGTGTCCTTGTACGTTTCCTCCTCTCATCACATTGCCAATACCCATCTTTCCCTATTTAAACTTTAGAACAAAATGATCAATGTTGACTTGTTATCAATGTATCGCTTCTTGGCTAGACATTGACTCACTGATACACCACAGCCTTTTTATGATTTAAGAAATCCGTGATAAGCTAGGTTGCTGGTTTGGTTACATCTGACAAATACCTGATCAAAACCAGCCCTGATACCAATCCAGTGCATTGAGTCGGGGTATGGATCCTTTCAACTTAAGCTTTATCAGCTTGTTCAAGAATTGGTAATAATTTGGACCACTGCACCTTAATCTGTATATTATAATCCTAAAAATATACTAATATTTATAGCATTTATTTATATTTATAGCATCCCATTAATCCATCCATATATACCCAATAATTCATTTTTTTCAGTCTTCATCTGTACATTTTGTAATTACTGTACATAGCACAGATTCTTGCACTTTCTGCTTATTGCACTTCTGGTGAGATGCCAAACCTCATTTCGTTACTCTATACTTGTATATGTGTAATGACAATAAAGTTGAATCTCATCTCATCTCATCAGAAGCAAAATAAATGCATTTTAGCTTGATTTCTTTGATATGCACAGGTAAAAGTCTTTACGTTTAGATTTTGATCTGCAAACATAAAAAGAGCAAATGATTAAAGAAAATATGTTTTCTTAAAGGTTTGATTTACCCATATGGCTTTTGGTTAAGTTAGTCAAACACAACCTTTTTTGTATATTTAACATACATTTCTTTTCTTTTTTTTCATAACTTGTTGACCATCGATAATAATCACAGCCTCTGTTGAAACTTTTTTTTTGTATATTCCAGGATACAGTTGGCAGTGACTGCCAGCAGCTCTGTGACTGTTGCTTTATGTCCGCTTTAAAGCGCCTCTTTCAGAGAGGCGCCGGTTTAGAGGACTCTCTGTACAGCAATGATAGCCTCATTAGCTGCTTGCTAGCCTTTGTTGTTTTTTCAACAGAGATGTGTGTCCAGATTCTCATTAAAAGATGGCCTTCTTTATATTGTCCACTGTCTCTGACAGTCCCCTTAGATTGAACGCCAACAAATCAAGTTACTTTTTTCCCCGTCCTCTTTTTTTCCTTCCCTGTGAAAAAAAATAAATCAGAAGATGTTTTGGTTTGCTGTTACACAAGCCTGTTGATTTCTCTCCTCGTTTGAGAATTAGCTTGTAACAGTTACTGCTGAGGGATTAACAAAAAAGATACTTGGTGAGAGGTAATGGCAGCAGCTATTTGAATTGTTTCACTGCGTTTTTTGCCAAAGTTTTGAGAGATTCATAGATGTATCTACACCCACAACAACAACAACATGACAAGAAAAGTTATTCCCAGGTTTCACAATAACGTAAAGTCAGATTCTTAAAAACCAAAACAGAGAAGCAGGGTGACCTCTTTATTTGGCACTGTAACAAAGTCGTTTGTGAATGACTCTTTTTCCAGCAAGAGTATTAAATTTAGCATGACAGGGACACCTTCATGTTTGCTACAACAACAACCACAAAATCTTTGACCTCCATTTTCTAGGCTATATGCAGAATGGGGCAATTTATCACCAGCCAAAAAATCTCAGCACCCTAATTAATTACAACTAAGTAAAGAATGTTTGGAGAGCCAAATTGCTTTAATTCCCCAAACGCCGGCTGAAAGTCATTCATTATCAAATGTGTGCTCAAAGGTTAGTTTGCTTTTGTGAAGACGAAATAAGCATTAATTTCGAGGCCTGGGCGTGCGTGTCCCCCTGTGGGGAGACAGGCGAGCTGTTTGTCATGAGGCCACACGTCACTGACGGCATGTTCACTGTCTGATCTTTGCTCGCTGCTCACTGGACAACGGCAGGTCTTGATACTTTCAGTGCAGAGCTCTCACTCAGCCTAATTGAATGTGGATAGTTTGTGTTTCCTGGATGAGGGTTTTGTTTAGAGAGTTGACAGGAAGGGATAAAGAAGCGTACAGAAGCAGCTGCTTGAGGAGGAGAATTGTCATTGACACTTGGGCTTTGAGCCTTTGGAGGCCTCCATTAACAGGCCCAGCAGGGAATATGTTTAAAGAGTCTTCAGTATGCAGCCACTGAGTGGAGATGTGTAAAACTCCCACTGAGTGCTCAAGGGAATCCACTCAGTGCTCAAAGATGCCTCTTCAGTCTGAAGCACCACTGAGGAAACAGGTGGGCTCTGACTAATTTCAGGAAATACAGAAACTCTCTATAGAAATAGTGGACAATTGGCCATATCAAGGCCATCTCTCCATTTATTTCTCAAAATACACAAAAAAAAAGTTCCGAGCTCCTCCTTCTGCTATTCATAAATTCGCCCACCGCTCACACTATTTGAATTTTAAGCAGTTCCGATGAACAAGAATAAGAAGCACTTGAGATGAAATCCATCTCTCGAAGGGAATTCATCAAAGAAATTACTTCCCATATCAACAATAGAAATTACCTCACAATATGCAATTGTCCTTTCCACATATTCATGGAACCCTTTGGTGTTTTTATGGGGTAAGAGGGACTATTTAGCAGCTAATACAGCATTAATGTGGAGGAGAGGGAGAGAGAAAAAAAAAAGCGGTTTTAATGGAAGTGGCTTCTTGCCTCTGAATTTCGATGATGGGCACAAAGGCCTTAAATCCCTTTCTTATTTGAGGCTGCTTTGCAGGTACTTTTCAGACCTAATAGGATAAGTAGAGGACACAAAAGATTTCTATCTCTCAAGTCTTTCAACTCACAGAGAATCCCGATCTCTGGCAATGAGCACCTCATGAATCATTCATTTTTAATAGATTATGCAAATTCCAGCACATAAAATCAACAAGATCAATAACTGCAGGCGTTTTAATTGGTGTTCAAAAACATTTTAAGGATGAACATAATCTCCAGCTCTTTCCCCCGTAAAGACACAATTAATTTGAAATTGGATCTCAGCCTAAACACTACAGATAATTTACTACTTTTTGCAAGGCTTAAAATTCCGCTGGTAGGCTTATCTCTGGCAAGTAAACTGTAATACTCAGCCATTAGAGAGACCACACACCTGAATATCACCCAATATCCACCGAGGCAAGCACTGAGGGAAAACAGAGCCGAGGAGCCACTAACTAAATACTAATTAATGGAAGTCACAGGCATGTTTGTTCCATTAGTTTGACCTCTGAATGCTTTATTTCTCTTCCCCCAGTCAGATCTACCAGCAGAAAAGGACATGGACTTTTTTAAGAACATAAAAGTATTTACTAAGTTCACGAGGATTGTAACAAGACGAACAGTATTAAATACATTAGATAGACAGCAGAAATATTGACCCATGCCAAATTGTGGGACTATGTTATCAGTAGTTTTCATGAGTGGATAAAAATGGAACATTGTATGAAAATATTGATTGAATAATAATGTGTTTTTAATAAACTTCCTACCGATACTTAATATAAATTTTTCTCTTTAATCAAGGCGTCAGACTGTTTTCATTTACTGTCTTGGATGTTTCACGTCCAAAGTGTTGGATCAAATTTCATGTTGGCCCAAGAAAATATTAATCCTTATTGTTATTTTAATAATAGCCAATTTATATACCAATGTTTTTGTATATCTAAAGGAATATATATATATTTTTAAGGTTAATGTCGGGAAGATTGCAGCAATAAACGTACAGATCATATTAAACCATGTATATACAGTATATATTTGGTCAAATGTTAATGAATGGGTTTAAGGGCTTAGCATATCATCCTATATTGATGGCAGGCCCCTGAATTGATCTAAATCAACACTGTATTGTGGCAGACTTTGTGATATCAGCAAACATTGTATTGTTGTCTGAAGAATCAATATGAAATCGTACTGAGGTGACTTTTGGGATTATCACCTTTACTTTCATATACTGACTTCCTGTCCTATCCTGCTTTATGTTTGTGCATGTAAACATCATTTCCCAATGTTTTTTTTCTATATGATCAAACCCAGGATAAGGCTCATATCTGGGATACTCAAGTCCACGTAAACCCACTGTTTGATCGCAGGCTCAGCAGAAAAATACAGATAAATGGCATCTGCAGCAATATAGTTTAAAATAAGAACATTTAAGCTGATTTTAAATGTATTGTTGTCATAAACATGAAACTTTGAATGTCATCCCCCTCTTACAGGAGTGTCTGATGAACTTCACTGTACTCAGGGTTACAGGGAAAAGTTCTTACAACTTTTACCAAATATGCACACATGCACACTTTTATGCGTACAATCTCATCTTTCTCCTTCTATATGACTCGAAGCGTCTGTGAAACAGTAAGGAGTTTCTCTCTGCAGAAAAATAACCCAGGTGCAAACAAAGCCTCCTGCAGAACCAGACCCGCTTCCTACAGGGGCCATGGTTGTATAAAGGACAACCACACACCTTTCTTCTCAGGAGGCCTGCCTTACAGGGGAAATCTACCTCCCACATATTAATGAGAAAAGGGCCCTTTCTTTGCTCATAACACTGCTTGGCTATCATTTGAGAAGGGGGGCTGCTGCTGCTGCTGCAATTTTCAATCACCTTGTCCTCCCCCACACAGAACTCGTTGCCTTTGATGGCTGCTGCATAATTATATGAATTTTAATAAAAGCTCTGTATATTAATCTCGGGGCCCTCTGACAGTCATCGTAAACTTTCAGTAAACTTAACCTTCTTCTTGGTAATAACACGGCAACAACGAAACAATATTTCAATTAGCCAGGCAGTCATTAACTGTGACAAGGAGAGGAGAGGAAGAGGAGGGGAGAGAGAGATAGGAGGGTGAAATAAATGATCATGGTGTTAAGAGTTAGGCGGCAGAAATGCCAGAGCGTATTTACAGAGGCACATTACTCGTGCCTCCGTACACACAAACTGTCTCCCGGCGAACAAATCACAGGAGCAACACAGCAGTCGACAAGCAGTCCGTCCTGCATGGTGGCCCTTTTTTTTTTTTTTTTTTTTTTCATGAGACCTTGCTGTGATACACAGTCATAGTTCTGATGTGCTGACACCCAAAGGTCCTTGTCCAGCGGTGACTGAACAGCCCCTCCACCCCCATCACACCCCACGATCTCTCTTACCGCCCTGCTAACTCAGCAAAAACCAGACTGAGGACAGCTGCTAAGCGTTTATCGCATCATCGTACCACCTTTTCAGCTCAGAGTGAAATGGTATTAAAAAAGTCTTCACACTTAACTTTTTGGTTTGCTTTTATTTTCACACATTTCATAATTTTTCTTTTTTTTTTAATGTCAATTGCACAAGCATGGTTTTTCTTTTACAGTGTTGAAAAAAAAAACCCTCAGCTGAAGCTGTGGCTCGGCAGCATAAAGGCGGACTGAGCGGCACTTGATCTTACCTACAGGGTAGCTTTGCGACACACTGGGGCCCAGGTCTGGGTTGGCGCTAGAGGATAAACTGGGCTTGACTTCGTCCAGGCTGGAATTCAGGCCAGGGAGCGCGTACTCATTAGCCTGGGAAAAGGACAGTTGAATCATTACACAACCAAACAATACCTAGATGGAAATCCTCCCTTCTCCTCCTCCATTAAGCGCTCCACACAGGCCTGCGCGAGTATAAATTTGTATGAGAGCATTGTGTGTGTGTGTGTGTGTGCGTGCGTGCGTGTGTTCAAGCTGCAGGGTGGCAGTTCAAGCATATCATGAATGTATTTTGGTATTGTCTGAGAGGAAGTGGGATTTTGAGATGAGTGAAAAGCCAAGGCGTCAGCTGGCCCTTTGTGCTTGACTGCAGTGCTACCCCTGATCAGCCAAGGGAGAAAGCAGTTCTGCTTTGTTAGCGGCACACCATGTGGCCTGTTTGAGGGACACCATTCACCTTTTTTTTTTTTTTCTTTTTTTAATATAGAGTCTAAACCACCTTTAAATTTCATTACATCTCATCCCTGAATAAATCATCTGTACAACTTGAACTTTTTGTCACCATTTAACTGTTTGAGCTTTTCACGTATTGTTTGCGTTTAGGTGTTCACCTGTATCATAAAAATACTTATTTTTTAAGTAAATGTGCTCACCTCTGAAATTTCGTCCCACCAAACTATGTAGGTTAACTAAATCTGTGCAGTCTGCTTCTTTAAATAAAAAAAAAAATCATTTTAGAGTAAAACCTCTCGACTACATGGTTTGTTATTGTATGCATCTCTCTCCAATATTAGTGACAATATGACACCTGAGTTAACAGGGTACCAGTACAAAAGAATACATATATTTATATATTTTGGTTAATTATTTATTTGAAGATCACTCTACTTTTCTTTTATGAACTGCATCCAAACTTCCTAATTGTTTGGTGTTTTCCTAACATAGCTCAAACCTTGAATAACTATGTCAGAAAATGAGAAACTTTGAATCACAAGCCAGAAATTACTGATTCAAAAAAAAGGGCAAAAAATAATGTGAACTGAAACTTCGATGCATACTTTCTGAGGTAGAGATGTTTGGTTCCCAGCGATACGCCTGATGTATTTCATTTGGTGCCAAAACATCTCTCCGTAAACAACATCCTACTTACTCAGGATAATAGACAATAATCACTTTATTAGGATTGTTTCCTGAGCAGTTCCAGTAAAAAAAATGTTCACAGCCAAGTTTGAGGATTAGCCAGAGTAACTGGGACAAACAAACATCAACGCTTTTTTGCTCCACAAAGAAAATAAATCCCATTATTAGTAATTTGGGTGAAGTGACCCTTTTTTATTTTTTTTTAAGTCAATCCGAAAATGATCTCTTCCCATCTTTTCTCTCCTCGTCATGTTTCCTTTTGTAAACCCTCTAAAGTCACCCTGGCAGATGTTTGGAGGTTTTCTTTAATGAGATGAGACTTCCGGAGTCTGAGTGTTGACAATGTTTGTCCAAAGCCCAGTGTGAGCCTGAGTGGCTCAGTGGGCCGCGCTCCCACAGGGGGGACGCCTGTGACCCCGCTCTTGTCTGCCACTATCACCGATAAACTCTAATTGTCTGCTACAACTGTTCACTGGCACAATGTCGGATGTTTTCCTCTATTCTATAGGCTGCAGACGCCAAACAGACGTTTTATCATGCAGATAAAGGGCAGAAGGGGGAAAACTGAAAAGATAGGTCTGAAAGGGATGACCAAATGGCTAGCAGAAGTGTGGGAGGGGTGAATCCATTGAGTTTTGCATCTCCAGAATGGGTTTTTAATGCCTCGCTACAGAGCCCAGACACTGGCTAATAGGGCCACATTTTCCAGAGGAAAAAAAAAAAAGCGTGAGGCGCCCATGAAAGGGAAAGTGCTGTGATTAATATTGCATTCAATTAAACCTGATTTTTCTAGACTGTTTCTGGCCTCGTTTTTTTTCCCTTTCTTGCCCCCTTTTTTTAGTCCAACCCTGTTCCCCCTCTGCCTTTTAATACTCTCCCTGACGCTCTTTGTGATTGCAAGTCATTTCCAATTCGTTTTGGTATTGATCTTCCAGTAGAAATCAGTTTTGTAATTAGCTGCAAATTAGGCCCTCTTCTGGAGGTGAGGCCTGTCCCACTGATTTATCACCTGCGTAATTCTCCCCGATTGGAAAGAAATTAAAATGAACTCAATTAGGCAACTGCTTTTGCTTTATGGGTCCGACTTGTTGTTTGGTGGGAGAAATTAATAGTCTCTTGTTATTTAATAGTATAATGAAAGTAAATAAAGGTTATCCATTGTAATAAACCCAGAGCTTTTAATAAGCGTTGTTTTCTGGCGGTCGTTTTTTTTTTTTTTTTGCATGGGGGTGGCTGTTCCCCCAAATGCCTTTTTAATTTTTGAAATAAGGATGGATGGCAAGAAAGAAGGAGCAGGAATACACGGTTTTCAAACATCCATTCCATGAATACATAAAGATGGCGTCACTCATTAAACGTCAACATGTCACACAGGGTTGGAAAATAACAAAGGCAAGAAGCAGCAGTTGAATAACAGCAAAAATGAAGAAAAATGCAGGTATTGATTAATTTCTTGTTGCCTTACTGTTATTCTCAATTATAGGGGATACAAGGAATGTGTTTTTCATCACAAAATCAATAATGTGTGGGAGTTTTCCTGGTGATCCCTGCAGCATTATACATGCGGGACTGTAATCCAGTGCTTGGCTATCTCAGACGTTTCTTTAATTAGCTTTGGTTTCTGGGTGGTTTGGTAATATTTGTGACATACGTTTTTTTTTTTTATGTTTGTTCAGCATCACATGCGCATTTTGTGTGTGTGTGTGTGTGTGTGTGTGTGTGTGTGTGTATTTAATGAGTGTGGTGAGTTGCATTCCTACTGACCTGTTCAGGTTTGATGTGCTCCGATGTAGGGAAGACGTCAGGGTACGAGGGGCGTTCAAAGACCCGGTCCAGCGCTTCCAGCTGCTGCTGGGTGAAGGCATCGGCCCTAAGGTGTTTCCGTAAACTCTCCACACTACCCTGAGAATCACTGTGTGGGCCAGAACCATCTGAACCATCTACAAGAAGAGAGAGCAACAATCGAGACACTGACCCCGGGAAGCTGGCCTTTACTTCATGATATGCACTTTATATTCTCCTCATGTTTTTTTTCCCCTCTGTGCCTCCTCTGTGGGGGATCTGAGGAGTACAGGAAGGGATGGAGTGCAGGTTTTTCTGCCTCTTAATGGCTGTAGTGAGCCACTGGCTACATCACACAGGCTTTTCCCTGCACCCCTCTCCCCCCCATCACAGTAGCAACATCATGATCTGAAAGCCCTCTGGTAATTGATGGATTACCATCACTTGCAAATATATACATGTTGTGGCAAGCATGTATACTAATGAAAGCAGCAGCTAGCCCATTATAGTGCCTTTCTTCATTCAAGCCAGGGGATTTCCCCCCCCCCAAAACCCTTGCCGAAATCAAAGGCACTTTTTTTTCTTAAAAGCACAATTTCCCTTTCACAATTCAATTCTGCTTTTATTCCCTGCAAGTGTGTGGTTCCATTTGGAAACAGCGGGCAGAGGACAAGAGGCTGAATAAAATTGTACAGTCTAGTTCAATCACCCAGCTCTCAAAACACAGGGATTTTTCTCCTGACTCCTGACCTGATTACCCCACTGTTGGGAGAAGGATGCCTTCGCTTCTCCTGTTGTCACTTGCGTGTGCTGCTTTACAGACCACCACCCCTTCTTTCCTCCTCCATCACCCCCCCCACTGCACCTCCACCCCCTCCTGGCTGCAGTGGCTGTGTCTGTAGGTCTCCTCCCTGGATCGCTGAAAGCTTCAGCCCCCTTACAAATCTGTCATTCTAAATTTGCGGCAGATTATGTTCTCCTCTCAGTGGGAGAGCGGTGATATATGATATGCAAGGCCCCTATTGATTGCCTGATCTGGTGGCAAGAGGGAGCTGAAATGAACTTGAAATGAACATCATGCCTCAACTCATTGTGCGTATAATACTCTACTTAATCCCACATTTTTCTCTGCCATGGAATTCAATTGATCAATCATGTCTGTGTGATAGTACCATTTTGGAGGGTTATTGCCATTCTATTCTGCTGCTTGACCTTTTTTTCTCAGGCTGAGGCCAGAGGATGAACCCGGCTCGCCTGTGAACGAGCTATAAAACTGTGTGTGTGTGTGTGTGTGTGTGTGTGTGTGTGTGTGTGTGTTTGAGTCTGTGTAACCTGGAATTGGGTTGATGGCTACAAAAATGTCAAGCAGCAAATAAGTTATGATTCGTAAAGCATATCTTCTGTTTTTTTTTCTGTTTTCACTGCACAAACGAATGCGTGACTTATTTGGAAGTGATAACTGATTTGCCAGATTGTTAACAGTAAAAAAAATACATGTTGCATAATCAGATCTGAAGGGCATGGCAATCCCTGTCCTCATGTTGCCTTACATGAGTTTGACACAGTGGGGTAAACAGATTCTACATTTGAGGAAAAAGTGTGCACCAGGTAATGGATTGGTGCATCACTATGATATATCAATAATACTAAAGTATTATTAATATTACCAAAGTATTGTTATTATGATTTTAATCCAGATTATCAAACTCTTGATATAATCACTAAATTAAATCTCACATCTTCACACTTTACAACAGTTCTTCTATCTATAGAACTCCACATTTTGAGTCAAATGAATGAAAGAACAAAAAAACCTTATCTTAAAAAACCTTTGTCATCTTTTTCTTTCCGAAATAGTGAGTTGCAAAAGTATAGTTTTCCCATGACAGTGACTTGTTTTATGTTTCAAACATTTGAATATAGATGTATTTGCTCGATGAAGTTTATACATTTCTGTGTTCATTATTATTTCCACACATTTTACCTTAATTTAGTCATGATATTTGGTAAGGTTTTAATGTAATTTCTTGACATATTTAGACAGAAAGTTATAATTTAATATTGAACACTTAAATCGACGCACAGTTTAAAGGAATCATTTTTAATTTCAGGGAAAAGTCAGATGCTGATTGGCGGTTCATAGCCATTAAACTGTAAAAGAGTCAAACAGCTGGCTTGGTTTTCTCCAATGCCTAGATCTCTTAACTGTACTTACACTTTATAGCTTGTTTAATTCGTGCAAAATTCAAAATATAAAGTAGTCGCAGTGCCCCATTCCAACCTGCTTCCAACTAATGCTAAACATAGCTTACAGGACTCAAGCTTCATATTTAGGTGAATTGGTTTAAGATGTTCACTCAACACATAAAAACAATACAACAGCGCTTAACTTTTCATCAAATTCAGGTAAATATTGAGCATTGTTCTGCTCAGCCTCAGTAAAAGGCCCTCACCTCCCATAGCTGCTTCATGTCACTTTATCAAACTCAATTGTTCTCTTTGCTACCAGCGCAAATAGAGTCATTAATTACTATCCATCAGCCGGCCTGAGCCACCAAACCTGATCAATACCCCCTACACACACACACACACACACACACCATATTTGTCATTCAACCACTGAGGAATACACTTCCCACACACAAGACAAACCATCCTGGGTCAACCTACACACTCTTCCTCCCACTCAGGCTGAGGACAGACCCATCTGCCCTCCCAAATACCGATCCCCACCAGACAAGACAGCAACGATGAAGACGATTCTGCTGACATATTGAATATTTGTGTCGCTTTCTTGTATGTATGTATCAGGGCTATGCAAACATAACCATTTATTTGATAGCAAAGTATATCATAAAACTTCTAATAAACTGCCCCGAACAACATTTTTTTTTTTCTCGTCTTAGTTGGTGTCTTTCAACAACAATAGTTCCCTAATCCCCCACCCTTTGTGGTTGTTACTGTAACCATGTCAACAAAGATCTCTTTACTTTGATAAAGCAGTCATTTAAACCCAAACAGACCTCATCTTTCCATAGATCTGCTTTGTGCAAGAACTTATCACACCTAACTCAACAAGTGAAAAATCTGAAAACAAATATATTTTCTGTCATGTCAATTTAGGTAGGTTTTCCAAAACGTTTTCTTTTTAGTAACTGATCAATTTCAAACAATTATTTACCCTAAAAGTTTTCAGGTCGGGCCTGAAAGCTCTTCTTATCACTACAAGAAGTCACTTCCAATATTTGGACATCTCCAAATGTGCCCATTATTCTAATGTTTGCCCACAGTGGCTTTGTTGGTGCATTACACGCTTGTCCCGCTCTGTGGTCGTTTATTGATCAACGGATTGTAGTTGAGTGTATTCATCTTGACATCGCTCTGTATTAACACTCCAGTAACGAGGGAGCAGCCTCCATCAGATCAGATAACCAGCTCTATAAAGCAGACTCCTCTCTGCGGGTTCGGCACCCAGAGGTCAAGACCCCTAGCAGGAGGCTTTAGACAACGTAACTCGGGGGAGTTGGGAGTGAGTCTGAGTGACTGCCCGCCAAACAACAACAGAACAATTATCACAAATGAAGTGCAGATTGAGCGGTCTGGGTATCTTTTCTGAAAGTCCTCTAGAGGAGAGAGAATGATTTTAAATAAAAGTTGAAGTTATCACACAATAAAAAGAGATTTACTGAGTTTTTTTTTTGTGAGTGGAAAGAGGAGGTGAGCTAGCACCTTGAGGTCATGAAAGCCCCCCTCTAAAGAATGAGCCTCAAACCCCCCCCCCTCCAAATCCCTCAGTTGGCTCCACGTTTAAATAACATGTCAACATACATACTCGCTCATTCCCTCAACACATTGTGATGTATTTCACAATAATACACCTTCATAACTTCCCTCCTAATTCAATTCCTGCTTAATGAAATGAAATGAAAACAAATTGGATGAACTCAGCCTCATTGTGGTTTGTCTAATTGAGTGTTTGGATTATGTTAACATAAATGAAATACTGAATTTGTTTGATACACGCCTCAACAGATCTTTGATCGTTGTGGGAAGAGATTAGATTGAAGATTAACGAGAAAATGGTTGAAAATCAGTTATTCAAAATTGCCAAATATTTCGTTTTTGCAGCTTTTTGAAAGTGGAATTCTGATTCTTTACTCACTAAAATGTGATCGTTTTGAAATGTCTTTAAAGAGCAAACGCTGTTTATCAAACAGCAGAACAGAAAATTAGGAGACATTTTGCTTTTTTTTTTTTGCTTTTTTAAACATTGCTTACTTTGATTTTCTTGAGCTTTTAAAGGCTTTATTAATCACATTTTTGCACTGGAGGTGCTGACACTCTGCAGTGCTCATAGTTCCTTTGTTGATTCTTCCTCTCCCCCAAAACAGATGCTGATACACAGAGCAGGGTGTGACGGCGGCCCGCTCTATCACTCATCTCCATCCACACACATCGGGCTCAGTCCTCACGACGCTCAGAGAGAAGAAATAATTAATTCAAAAGCCACTGAAGCACAGAATCACATCCATTCTGACTGCCACTGGCTATTGTTGTTGGGCTTTTTTTTAAATATATGATGATCATCTTATCATGAAATTTCTCTCTCGATGATTCTCTCATAAATAAAGAAGAAAGCGGCACAAAGTGAGAAAAGAGATCAGAATGGGTCAAATTAAAAGTCGTCTACAGGTTTGATTGTGCAATCTGGAGGTTTGCTCTGAAAAGACGTGTGTTAGGACTTTGAAAGACCGGACACACTTCATGGACATGCTCTCAAAAACAAAAAAAAAACTTCTAGATGTCTGCTCAGGGTTAATTCAGCCCAATCGAACACTAACTCATAACAAGATGGTGAACAAAACAGCCATAAGAGCAGATTTGTACTTAAACATACGTACTGTATGAAAGCTTCACATTTCACCCTGAGAGGAGCAGCTTCTCCTTTTGTTTTTTTCTACGGTGTCAGAAGCAGTGGGGGGATGGAGGAGTCGTGGATGTTAATCTGTGAGGTAATAGCTTTTCTCTGCAGAATTGCAAATTCTAATATATGTCACTTTGCGGACAGCCGTGGTCACCATCTCCAGAGGTCTCTCCCTCTTTCTATCCACCTCCCCCCCCCCCCCCCCTGCTCTGTATGTCCGCAACAATGGCTGCCAAGTGTAACATGCTACTTTTAATTTGCAATAACACGTGACAATAGTAGATTAATGGCTCTTATGACACCTGTGTCCCTGAAGCTCTTCTTGCCGAGACCCAGTGTACATAACGTGTGTCACACTACATTATCTCTACATCCCTGCTGTAATGGGGGACTTTTTTTTTTTTAAGGGCACTGCTGACTTGGAAACTTAGAAGCTTGTCTGGCTGCCTGGCAGAGAGCCACAAAATTCCTGCCTAAAACAAATACTCCTCGCTACACAACCAATTCATTTCACCAGGGTTTCTGTTGCACACACAGCGCTCTCACCTCACCTCCACTCCTCTCCTCCTTTCCGTTCCCCCCTTTTTCTTCATGTTTTCAACCCTTGATAATGACTGTGCCATAATCATCGCGAGGCTTACCAAGTTAAATAGGGCTCAGGCAAACTGTGCTGTGAGGAAATGTAATCCAAACATTAACTGGTTATAGATGACTGCCTACTGAGGGAAGCAGAATAAGTGTGAAGAGCCAACAAGGCAACACAGGAACACAGACTGTTTTCTGGGAATAAAAGGCCTTTAACCACAAAATTTCCACATCTCAATAGAATCCAAAACATGTTTCATCTTCACTTTCAATGTCAGAGACCGCGAGTTTTCACTGACATCTTATGTCTACCTTTCTTGATAAAGATGTGTTTCTCGTTTGGGTTGCAATTGATCATTTTCTAACACATATAAAGAACTGCCATTATTTCTTATTTTCTTTTGTGTATATGTTATCAGATCAGAATTTATGGAGGCAAAGCATGGACATTTCGGACATATGGTATAGTATGTATTATGAATGGCAAAAATGGCATCTGTGATGATTTCCTTTATATAATACCCGCTTCAAATAATATTTCATGGTTAAATCGCCACTTGAGCAATTTCATGATAAAACTACACAGACTTGTTTCCCAATTTTCACCAATATGGTTGTAAAATCTGCATACATTTCCCATAATCTCTCCGTGTGATCACAAACAGTATGAACACATATTGCCAAATAAATCTGAAAATGCATTGAACGTGAACGTGAATGAAAATGTTCCAAAATCACAAGTCCTCTATGCGAAACACATGTTTCAAATGTAAAAAGACACACGTTCCACATAATTCACATGTGATTTGATGGTTTTTAAAAAAAAGTGATGTATATTCTTTTTATAAGGAATATGAGAAATACTTCTGAAATAACAGCTGTGGACGAGGACACGTCAGCTGAGCAGTTACAAAACCTTGAAATTCTGTTGTTTTTTGTTGCCTTTCTTTTTTTTGGGGGGGGGGGGTAAGGTACACTTTAAGAGAAGACAGCAACAGGACAATATTGTCTACAGGGCAACAAAGTATGTAATATACTATTCTTACAAACCGTGGCTCGAGGCAGGACATTGCTTTTGCAACTGATGTGTGTGCAGCCAAGGCCTGGGGTTTATGTTTTGGAAAGATAAAGTATCCCTGACCCTGTGCTTCCAGGTAGGCACCAGCTGGCTGCAGAGAGAGTATATAAGAACCACAGCTCCCTCCGTCACCCTCAGTGCAAGTCCTACCCTTACACACACACATGCACACACACACACACACACACACACACACGCACGCACGCACATTTCTTCTCTTTCATCGTAATAGTGGCCGAGCACCTAAATCACAGAAATGGCAGCACATCAGGGGAATCATTTGAGACTGAATAGCCGTAGAAACATGGCGCTGTCACCTGAAAGACCTCCACAAAACAGGCCAGCTCTCCCTCTCTCACACACACACCTTACTCCTCTCCATGCCCTTTAATACCTCTTTGCCCTTCAGTAGCAATCTGCATAGAAATGTGTGCATTCTATCATTCAGTGACTAGACATTACACCCCGGCTAATATGAGAGGTCCTAGAACGACTGGAAATGAACCCTCGAAAAAACACCAGACGTTTGCATTATGCCTCCGCGATTGCATCTCTTACAGGGGAAGACTTGATTATGTCATTTGCCATGTCCACGTCATGCTGGTTTTTATATCTCTGCCAGGAAATCTACCTCTGACAGGTCATTAGTCATCCCCCCCTCTCCCCTGCACGCACATAAAAACATCAATTCCACTCAATATCCCCGCAAACCCCAGCGCTTCTCCACAAAAAAAAAACCCGCCAGAACAAAGAAGACGCTACGTAAACCACCGCCGTGCTCTGATTAGCTCTCATTCCAGAACACTGCAGAAATAAGGCACTCATTCCCCCACCCTGTTTGAGATAACTGCCCCCTTTTCAGCAGCCACATCATCCCTCCATACACGCACATGCTTTCAGAACATGAGTGCATCTGTTTAGCTATTCTCATCAGCTACTTATGTGGTGACATTAAGGAAGCGTATTGCTTACAGAACCAATAATCTATATCGCCTCAGGCCCCTTATATCCACTACTTCAGCAGCAGGAGTGCAGCCACTTTTGTTAAAGGAGGAAAAAAAAAACAGCCCTCCACAGAGCTATAGTGGCTTTCTTGACTGACCCGGGTGGTTGGCTACATCATCTTGACATGTAATTATCTAAAGCCCTTTAATCACTTCCATAAAGATTAATTGCAGGAGACAACAGCGGAGGTCGTGTCTTCAAATCAAAAGCCTCCTTGGCAGATTGACACAGCGGTGTAACAGAGTTCAGACTTAGGTGTTTTATAAGGGTCATCTACTGGAACTGAGGCAGCTTTAAATGCTGTAATTGCAAGTTCAGCAAAGTGGGTTTTATAGCATAAAGCTGCAAAGAATTCTATTTAGTTTTTTAGCTTTTGGAGGATTTTAGACATTTGCTTTGTGCTAATCCTGAGCTGGGTTGATGTGGTCCTTTTTTTTTTTCTCTCCTTAAGACAGAGAAACTCTCTTACCTTCATCTCTTTTCCTCTTTTCTCCATTCGATCGAGGAATTCCCAGAATCCCATTGATGGAGTAGGATCCTGCAGGGTCGTTGGAGGCGCTGGTTACAGGCGGAGAGGCTGTGCTTGGTACTGGGAAAAAGACGGAAAAGAATTTGGCCAATACCCTTTATGTCCAATGAAACTAGCGATGCAATTCACAATTTTAATCACAATATGGCATTATCAATTATTTGGGCAACAACACTGTATTTGTTGTAACCATAAAGTCTACGATAATGCGACTGATTCGATGACGACACTTCGGATCGATATGAGACAATATCATCAGCCCATTTATTACCATCAGTTAAACACAAATCACTGCACAAAAATCAGCTGAAATATGATTTTATATTTGATCTTTACTGAAATCTTACCGACATAAAGGAAAGATTATCTTTATAATATAGTAAAAGTGCTTCAATAAAGGTTGATTAATATATCAGTTGGCTGATATTTCGCCTTAGAGCTATGATTGTTAAGTTCTATATGTTGATAAAATAAGATATTGGTTGACAGGAGATATCAGTCGGTGTATCCATGTTTGTATCAATGACAATAAATCATTGATCATTGAATTGATAAATATTTTTACACACAGTAAGTACATGCATGTGCAGCCTGTGCCGGTGTTTCCATGAAGTTGTAAGCTGCTGTGTTACCTATAGTATGGCCAGGCGTCGACAGGGACGACCCATCAGGCGATGGATGGAAAGGCTGCTGGACCTTTGTTCGGATGATCCTGAGGAACAAAAGAAAAAGACACACATCAGTGCGGCTTCTCTCTTCCTTGATCCCCAAACTTCCTCTAACACCAGCTTATAGTTCCCTACAACTACGGAGATATTGTGCGATTAAGATATCAAACCGCAGCTCATGCACGAGTAGGGTTCTTGGTTATGCCTTAAAGGTGAGGTGTGGAGAAAAGTCTTCATTGCACTTTTGGTCTGAGTGATCTTGCAAACAAAGCATGAAATCACATCAATTCACCTCAATGATCAGCTTCACTGACTCTACCTGGCCCACACTAATCAGCTCTCCCTCTCTTTCCCTCTCCCTCACAGTGGAGGGGGGGGGTTTCACTGGGAGCAGCCCTATAGTAGCCCTTTGCTTCCCAGATCAAACATCTCTGTAGGAACCGAGCGGCCCCCTGCATGTGCCAATGCGGATGAGGTTGTATTGATCGGGGCTTGGGGAGAAAAAGTTGGGGATTAGTCACACGGGCAAACAGATGCAAATAGAAAGCTATAAATTATATGTGACAGGAAAGCAATAGTTCCTTATTGCCTTGCACAAGCTTACGCCAGCATTAGATTCCTTTAATCTGAATGGCACTTGGGGAGAAAGGGAGCTGTCACAATAATTTGTAAACTTTAAAACTATTCATCATGTGTGCCATGAGAGCCGTTTATAAAGAGGTCAGGTGGGGTCTTTTAAAGCCTTTAGCATTGATTTCATTGCAATATCCCTATATTTTTGTGCACGTTTATTTCTAAGGATTAAGAAAATATACCTGACGAGAAAGATACAGAACAAAATCTCATTTGTTTTCTATATTGTGCATCAATCCATGCTTTATTTCTTTATGTTGCGTGTTTAATTTCCCTAGATTTAAAAAAATGTACCTGCTTGTAAAAATTCAGCACTGATTTGTAACCGCGCATTGTTTTATTATTATTATTATTATCTTTTTTTACATGCTTAGATCCTCATTGTATCCTTTAAAAATTAGCATTACTATTATTATTAGAATTACTTCTGTAGATAAAAAGGTCCACAATCAGATCAAATTGCACATTTACCGAACAAAATGTCTCTTTTTCCCCCCCATATGATGCAGAGATTCATCAGATGATGTTGATATCGATGTTGCTGTTGGTTGCCAGAAGGTTTCAGAGGAGTAAATCCAACACTGTCACAAATAAAGAAAAACTCCCCTTGGAGGCATGGCCACCTAACAACAAAGCTCTCCACAGAGTGCATATTGATGTTTTAATTTTTTTTCACTTCGCCTCATAACAGTTATTCGACCCCTTGACTTGAGCGTGCTACATAAATTCAAAGACTTTATTTGGTATCCATGTTCTTGATATTGAATAAGCAATTTGTGAGAATGAATTAATGACCTGGCTGTTGCTGAAAATCCCCCTGAAGAAATATTAAAATTGCTTTCCTTCTGAATCAATAATATCCAGCTCCATTGAGGAGCTTTTTCTTTTTTGTTTGGTTTATGTCTCCCAGCAGGGCAGCGTTACTTGTTGGTTGTGGTGGCCCTGGCTCGTAGTACAACACTATCTCTGTAGCGTTTAATAATGCATGCAGGGGGAAAGGTGTTTAAATGGAGCGTCCTCTTTTGTCAACAGTCCTGAGGTCAGACTGTCTGCCACAGAAACCCACCACTGGCCCCAGTCAGGATCACCCAACTGGAAAAGACTGGCTCCACTGTTCTGCCTTTTTTTCTGAATTGTCTTCACTGGGAAAGCCACGTTTGTTGAGTGAAAACTTTTCTTATCTAAGAATCTTTCAAGGATTTTTTTTTTTTACGCTTTCTTGAAGTAGCAAAGTCTGCAATTTGACTGAAGTCTAACAATATTTATATAGTTCTTTTTTTTTTTTCCACGCTGCTCCTTTAGAAATTGAAGCTTGTATTGAAATATTAAACCCCGGCTAAATCTAAACAAAGTTGTCTCATTTGTGCGTGTGCTCCATTGTATGCATGCAGCACAGAGCCACACATTCACGCTTCTTCTGCTTTAAAAAAAAAGGGAGAGAAAAAAATCAGCATTGAGCCTTAATAGAAACTCTAAGTAGCTCTTATACTGTATTTGACTGATAGAATTACACTTCTTTGTATTCACAATTTAATTTCGCACATAAACAAAGACACATAGGGCGCCCTCCCCCCCCCACTTCAAATCAAAAGCTTTAATTGGAATTGAAAAAAATAACTTTATAGGGCTCTTTTAATGATATTAATGTACGTTTTGAATTTATCACATACATGTGTCTGAGCCTCCTTAAATGGGGCTTTTTAAGCAGCCACGAAGCATGAAATGAATTTTCTTCAGCCCTTTTTTTTTTTTCCTCTATTTAAAAGATGTCTTGTGTGGAGCTGTCCGTGCTCTCCCATCAGCTCATTAAAATGTAATGCTGATGCTGGCTCTATGGAACAGTGCCTCTTAACCAAAGTTCATCACCAGGGATCTCTGCTGTGTGTGTGTGTGTGTGTGTGTGTGTGTGTGTGTGTGTGTGTGTGTGTGTGTGTGAGGGGGGGGGGGGTGGGGTGAGGGGTTTAGGAGGGGTGGGGTGGTGGTGCCCTGGGTCTTCCTGTAGCTGTCTGTCTATAACTGTAGTGATTTTCTCCATGACTGTCTTTAAGAAAGCTGCTGATTTGGAGCATGGAAAGTTGTAATCACCTCGATAGATGTGGATATTTTACATGATCGTTGTCATGAAGCGCTTTTCTTTTAGACAACTCAGGATTTGCAGCAGACATTGATGTGCTAAACTTGTTCGATATGGATGTTTTCATGGGAATTTTCCATTTATTTGTTTTCTTTGTAGAAAACTAGCAGATTTAAAGCATTAAAGCTGATGCTTGGCTTGATGAATATGGAATTTTAATGTCGTAAAACATTTGCTTTAAGACAATCTGAGGATTCAAAGTAGGAATCGTGATAAAAGTGAAATTTAAATACATATAAGCTGACATATAATCCTTTTATTTAAGAAAACCGCAGATTACAGTTTTATTTGATGACTGACTTGTTAAATGTTTTTAGAAATGTTTGCTATGCAAGTGCTTTATTTAAGAGTTTTTATGCCACAGTTAAGGTGACACTGAAAGTGCACTTTCATGCATCACCATGATATTAATGACAGATAGATATGTCCTCCAATTGAATGCAAGGATAAATGAGAAGTGCTCATTTATTTGCATCTGTTGCTATTATATTTGTGAAGCAATATTTTTGAAATTAAAGTCAATCTGCGTCCCATTTATCTAAAAAAAAATCTTAAAATAAAGTCCTGCAGAAAGCTAGTGTCTCCCTCTCTCTCTCTCTCCCTCTCTCTCTCTCTCTCTCTCTCTCTCTCTCTCTCTGTCTCTGTGCAGCAGCAGATCCAGCAGCACATTAGATGTGCTAAAGAAAATTGGCCTGCTTTATAGCGCCACGGGATCTGGTCACCGAATATTGATCGGTTTTCATCTCGACAGATTCACTCAGTCCTGGATGTACTGCTGATTGTTGAGGGAGTTTGGTCTGAAAGATTGAATTGCACCTCTGAGACCGCGCGTGCAGGCTGGAAGGCACCGCGCGCGGGGCAGCAGGAAGTTGGTCAAACGATATTCAGCACATTGCACAGACGCACTGTGATACACGATGGTTAATTTGCTCTTCCTACACTCTGCGTTAAATTGGTAACATCCTACATTGTGTTGTTTTTCCCCTAACTTAATTTCAAAATAAGAAAAAAAAAGACATTCACATTTTTCGAGATGATATTGAGACGTTGGGGTTCCTACCTGTTAATAGATGAGACACTGGGCACTGTGTCGTTGTCGCAGATGCCCTCTGCTAGCAGTCTGTCCCTGATCTCCCACGCAAACATGGTGGGGTTTTGTCTCTTGTAGTCTGCGATTTTGTCCACCACCTTTGGCGTGGCCACTTTAGGTTTAGACCCACCGATCACACCTGGTTTGATGCTGCCAGTCTCGTAGTATCTGCAAAAAAAAGATCTAATGAGACGATTATAGTTTGAAATATTAACGACCTAATTCAGCCGTCAGACATCCTCCTGATGTCTGGCGGTTCATCTGATTTCAGCGCAGCGACACTTCCATGCGTCACATTCAATGGAGTGAGTTTTATCTGGGAACTACTTTTCTACAAGAAAGTGTGCAGAAGTCAAACTTTCCAACAGAAAACATCAAAACTTTTTTTTTTTTTTTTTTGTGTGTAACAAGCATCTTCAAACATTCATGGTGTCTAAAAACAAACATGACGTTCCTTTAGAAACTAAAAGTGCTGGAAAACGCATCAGATCATGCATAAATGAGTAGACGGCAAAACAAAAATGTCTAAATGTCAGAGAATATTTTCAATAAACACAATATCCTCCTCCACACTTTGACTCAACTTATCTTAACGTAAAACTGACATTCATGAGAACTGATATAATGTTAAGAGATTCAGCTCTGTCCACCAACTCCACCCTACATTTCTGCCTCCCCCTCGCACCCAGCAGAGCCTACCTGGCCTCAGCTGCAGGGCTTGGCCGCAGATCTTTCACCCACCTGCCCAGGATCTTGCTGACGCAGCCGTGGCTCACGCGCAGCTGTCTGGAGATGTCGCAGGGCCGGACGCCCTGGTGGGCCAGCTCCACGATCCGCTGCCTGACCACGTCCGGGAGGGGTCTGCCGTTCACAAACACCCCGCCGAGCTGGTTCACACCTCCGTGCCCTACGTGGGATACAACAGCAGCACACACACAACCGTAACATTACATAAAGTCGTTGACGGTGAGAGCAAGGCGCAGGTGCCTTTTTTTTCCCCCTTTTTTTTTTTAGTAGAGAGAGTAATGATGGAAAATAAAATGTCATATGATATCACTGAGGATTCTTACTCATTTCTATGGAGCAGGTTGCTTTAGGCTACATTATTTATTTGAAGAGGCGTGCAATGCTGCGTAGCTCATAAATTAGACCTGTTTCGTGCGAGTTAATAAGTAAAATATCTCACTTATATTATCAGCGAGGCGCTTTAATTCCCTGTGTTAAACATGCCATATATACAACACACTGACCAAATGATAGTGTGATTATATTTCTAGTAATAAATGGAGTAAAAATTATTTGGAAATTTAACCAAAAAAAAAAAAAATTCTCTCACCAAGATTTAAAAAAAAAAAATGAAAGCTTGTTATTAACGTTTTAATTTTGTTTGATTAAAAGTACAGACATTTAGCTAAAAATATGCCTTCCCCTTACATTTAATTCTGCATGCTTGTTGGTAGGTTTTTCCTTATATTTGTATTTAAAAAAGGGCCACATTACTTTTTAAATATGAATTATTAGAATCATGCTTTGAATTAAATTAAATTATAAGTCTACGTAGGGAACTATAATGCAATATGTAAATATATTTGTAATACTGTTTATCTGTAACTGATACATAAATCCACTCCTCATTGACCCACCATGGCCTGCGTCAGAAAGAATAGTAGTAGAAATAATTTCTTAGAAGAATTTATTTGACTCTCCAGCACTAAAAAGTTTCTCACAGTGACACCACAGACCTCATATTTTCTCTTAGCAAATCCACGGCTCGTGTTGAGTATTAAGTTTCCTAATTTACCCTGCACGGTGTGTTTTAATAATTGAACATGCTTTGATCACTCATATTACTTATTATTTAGTAAATGAAGAGCTCATCAATTATTACAACACATTACAAGAAACCCACACTGGATGTGGACTTAAAGTGGACTAAGAGACATTGCTGTTATTTGAATAATTTGAATAATACATGTGTTACTAATGTCCTGTCTTATTAGGCCTACACACACACACACACACACACACACACACACACAGAGACTGCGCGGGAAATAGGAGCCTGATACAAGTGTAAATTAGAGAGCACCTGCACGCGCATGTTCTTTGTTTACTACAAGTTTTAATTTGTGCTTCACTGCTCTGTTTACAGTAGCATTGCTGCTCTGTATAATATATATTTTTAAATAGTTTTATTTAGAATTCAGACATATAAGCAGACCTCAGAAGGAGTGGGTAATATAATATTTTATATCACATTCAGTCTTGTGTTTTGTCCATGTTTACCTCCATGTAGGCTAAGTGTAAGTCTATTTTTATGCACCAAGACGCAGAAACATGGCCAATGTCTCCGCTTCAGGCCTTTTTTTAAATGTAGCCTACATCACAATATGTAATTCTACATTATTTTCTCCGCATACATTCACAGGGCTGCAGTAGCAGAGGACTCGCGTTGTGCTACTTACGGTGCATCGCTGTGAAGGGGTCTGCTTTGCAGTGAATATCCATTGGATAGCAAAGGAAAGACAGATAATCAACTGAAGTCGCCGTTTCGCCTTCCGAACAAGGATGAAAATGTGAAGAAAAAAAAGGTGATTCTACTCGATGGAGGGACTTGTGGTCTGCCCCCTCCAACCCCCGCTTCAACGGCAACTTCTTCCCCAAAAGTTGCCCTTTCTCTTGTTTTCTTTTCTTTAACAGTCCGGTCCGCGCGAGGAGGTCTGGCAGGTGCGCAGCATGACCGAAGGATTGTTTCAGAAAAGGCGACTCGGGTTGAGTTTATCGGTGTTTTGTCAAAGCCAGGAGTGTGAGCAGAGGTAAAATCTCACAGCATCTCGTGTCTGTATTTAAAGAAGCGATGTCCAATGCGCAGGGCCCGATATCTCCTCAGTCCTGATGGCCTGGATTCTCAGAAAAACCTGCACACACACACACACACGCGCGCATACGTCGGGTTTCTCTCTCGCGCTGGATGCGTCAGGCTGGATCTTTGGGGCTGGGAATGAAGCCTCTCTCAGTGTCGGTGGTTCTAAAAGCTGCAACCCTCCCTTCACTTCCCCTCCACTCCTCCCCCCCCCCCCTGCCTCCCCCTGCCTCCCCCTCTCCTCCCCTCTGCAGACCCCCCTTTTGCTTATATGGATGACTTGTCAGACAAAGGCAATAGATGCCAACACTTTGTGATTCGCCAACGCAAAACAGAAAAAAAAAACCTGGGGTCCAAATGAGGAGGTCTGTGGCTCTGACACCGCGACAGGAAGGGGAGGGAGATAAATAAGGAATGGATTCGGACTTTATTAGACATTATAACAGCTGTGAATTATTCGCTCGCTTACTGGAAGTTTTGAATCAATGAAATAGAGATATTTTGTATTTTATATGTGTCCATTTATGATCTTTTTCCCTTTATCACTCGGATTAACAGCCTTTTACAGGATTTGTGTAAACAGGTCACCTCACAGATTATTCTATGCATCCTTTTTTTTATTTAATTTAATTTTTTATTTTCTTCTCATCTATCTTTAGGTCTGCCCTGGAACCAACTATAGGCCTCGAATACAATTATCAAAATATGTTTTTTTTTCCTACCCATTACATATAAAAGGAAGTCTGAACCTATAGTCTATGTAAATTCTGACTGTTCTGACCTCTTTCCATTACACTGATGGTGTGATGATTGCACCCGTCCAAACTGGGGGCAGTGGTGCTAAAGGAAGGTTGGAGGTGAAGCTGGTCTTCACGCAGCAGTGCCGCTGAACTTCTGTAGATGGCGCTGTATAGTTTCACAAATGTGAGGGTGCTGAAGAAGTGAAGTCCAAAAAAGTCAAAGTTGGGGTGCACTTCTACATGTGTGATAAAACTGTAAAAAAAAAAAAAAAAATGACACAACATAGCGTATGCGCTTAGATGCATCTTTTTAACGTCTTGCATTAAAAACTAATAATAAAGATAAGTGTTGTCGTACACCTGCACTAAGTGTCATTAGGACGGACAACTTCACAACTTCACAACTTCACTACATTTGGTTCACATTAATATATATATTTTTAAAAACCTCCAAAGAGTCCATTGACATTTCTAATATTTTAGATATCTAAAAAAAAAAAATGCTTTAGATCAGACGTTGAGTGGTATTTTTAAAATAAAGTTTTATGATGACCTTAAAAAAACAACCATTAAAAAGCACAAAAACACACATTATGTAATAAATACCTTCAAAAAACAAATAAATAATATACAAAAATTAAATTAATCACATTTCAATCAGATTTATACAATAATAGTAATAAATCTAATTATAATAATTAAAATAATAGTTTTAACATAAATACCGATATTCTTGTTACTTCCTTATTTCCCTGTTTTTTATGCCAGGATCTCGCTCATTTGGCAGTATTTTTTCAGGTATTGAGCTAGGGGGGTGGTATTTTGGGTTTTGGGGGGGAGGGGGAGCATCTCTTAGGGGCAGACGGCCTCCTCTCGTGCTCTGCCTCCTGGTCAGGTTAGGGGATGATTTCTCTTTTTGTTACTGTTTTTGGAGTGAGCTTCTGGTACAATATGTAGCACTATAGGCTGTAATTTCACAGCCGGCTGCACATTTCCCTTAAAGCTACATTCTTTTTTTTCCCCCCCTCCTCGCTCTCTCTCTCCCCCTTATAAGACCCCCACCATCATCATCATCACCTCCTCCCTCGATTTTTCCTCTCTCCCTCTCTCTCGTGCCCTCCTGCTCCCTCTATTTTGACACACACCCCTCTGTAAAATGGAGGGGGGGGGGGGGGGGTTAAAATGCTGATGTTGTTTTGAACATAACGAATATGCCGTTCGCACATGTTTACTTTGGTGTGTTTGAGAAGCACGTGCGGTCAGATGGGGCTGTGTATAACCTATAACCTCTCTCTTTTTTTTTTGCAAGGGGGCTGTTCCATTCAGCTGCTACAACCTGGGGGTCAAAGTGCCCCAAAAAAAGCCTTTTAAAAAGGACAAAGACTGAATCAATTATCGCCTCTTTTTCTACAAGTTTACCTCTATAATAATGAAATCTTAAACCTACAACTGGCAAACAACGCCAGAAAGAGCCACAATTCTGAAAAGAAATAGAAATCAAGACATTCTGAACCAATGTCTGCCTCATTCCCAGTCTGACACACACCTGCAGTATTTAAGACCACGTCACTCCATGTCAAGAGTTTGCAAAAATGTTTTTGGAGCCCGCGTGCACCCATTAGGAGAAGGTGTAATTTATTGACAGAGAGCCATTTATCTTTTGCCCCGCTTCCTAATGGCCTGTGCACGCAGGGGGAGAGAGGAGAGGTGGCATGGAGAAGGAGGAGGAGGAGGAGGAGGAGGAAGCAGCACTACCGAGGGTCCAGCAGCTCCTCCCGCCAAACACCACTGTCCGGGCAGGATGATGGAAGCGGTGGTGGTGGTTGTGGTGGTGGAGAACTTTGATTTGAGGTGCGAGAGGTGTCTTTGTGTTTTTTTTTTTTTTTTTGTTCTCCTCTCGTGACGCTGCTGGTTGTCTCGCGGTATTCCGACGTCACCAATCGATCAGAGTTTCCTTGCAGAGGGGAGCTGACAGCACTGGTTGTAAGTTAAACATTAATCCTTTAGGATTTAAGGCAGGGATGTGTCAGGAGATTTGGATCAATTTGTGAACAATTCAAGGCAGATTTTAAATATTTACTATAACTATAAATACTTTTTTTGCACATTTGTTAAATCTGATAATAATGTCAAAATGATCAACATTGTGCATGCTCAATTAAATTAATTTTATTTGCCTCTCCCATACAGATATATTTAAAAATATAAAAACATAGGCCTATGTAATTTGTAAAATATTGAAAGGACACAAGAGGATATGTTCACCAGCTTGTCCAGGAACAGATGAAGCATCACTCTAATTCCGTCCTCCACATCGTGAAGGATTGATTTTGCACTTGCTTTTAATTTTGCCCATAATTAATTGGATCATTACAACTGTTTTCCATTGATCCCCTCCTCGTTAAATGTAAAACCAGAATGTGATCCATGTGTTTTTTTTATCGTTGTAGTTTTTTTTTATTTTTATTATCAGCCTATCAGTCGTAACTTCAGCGTCTGTTTCCTCCTCTATGCATAATCTGTATTTCAATGTCACACAGTTATAAAATCATTATGACGTCAGAATGTGGCCTATCGATTTAACCCCACTCTCACACACATGCACGCGCACACACACTGGTTAACGAAAACTCTCTTCAGTATTCTTGTATATTTCCGTTTATTTTCAAGTATTTTCATCTATTTATTTCTGTTTAATAATATCAATTACCGGTAGTTTATGTTTTAAATGGTCAGTGGTACATGTCGAGTAATTCTGATTAAATTAAGAATAGGAGCGAAGACACTTTTATTTACCATTTAAGTTGTTTTATGCACCTAATCAACATAAGAAAAGAAACTTTAAACCCACCTTTATATTAACTATAAATAAAAAAATAATAAAACACCGTAAAAATGTCTCCTTTTGTCCATAACTATAAGTATAAATTCTGCACATGCGCTCTGAAACGTTGAATGGTTGGTGTGACAGGCAGAACCTCACGTGAAAAAAAATGTTTCCCTTGAAAAAATAGAAGTAATGGTTAAAAATGTAAACTTTATAAAATGGTAAAGCACTTCAAAATCAAAGAGTCGTAATTTGTTTAGTTTGTATTCGTGGTTTGATTCGATGACGCTTCAATTTCGACGTGAACTTACATGAACTCCTCGTATACGTCAGTTTAATGCCGTCATATTAACCGTTTACTGTCTTCGATGGGAGAGCATTAAAAATTAGATATAGACGTAAAAGTCAATGCTGAAGGATCGTATTTCAGATGATAAAACACACACAAGAAGCACCATGAGTTGGCGCCACGCTTTTTACTGTACAAAAGAAATTAACTTTAAACTGATGTAATCTGCGTTTGGTTTGGTTTTGACTCTTTCTATGTCTCTGTTCCAGGTTGGCTGTTCAGCTGATGATCTGTCCCGTCATTAGCCCTCTACACACGCGCACACACAGACGCACACGCGCACACACTCACACACACAAAGTCAGTGGTTCCAGTGATTTTGTATTGTATTAAAGATCCAAATGCAAGTGAAATCAGGTTACATTACTTTGATTGGAAAACACTTTGTTAAATTACTTTTCATACCCTGAGCACAGGAGCAGTCAGACAGTTGAGTTTCTGAGCTTTTCCATGCCTCAGGTACAGCAAATCATTAAGAAAAATTAACATCTCATTTGCATTTAAACCTGGAAGAAGCCCCAAATTACAAAAAATAACTACAATTATGATTATTTTAATATTTATGATCGCAAACATTTGAAACGACTGCATCAAAGACACAAGAAGTTTCAGCATCCAATTTCATTTTTTCCACCCACACAAATATAATATTAATATTCTGAATATTGCAGACACGTTTTTACCACCTCCCATGCATTAACACACCAAGTTAGAGAAGAAAGACTTCAAAAAATACACTCTGGCTCCTCATTCATTATGCAGATTTGCGAGTAATTGTTTAATATGCCCTGCAGTGCTGCTGGATTAAAAATAGCTCAGTATCATGTCATTTAAAAAAAAAAAAAAAAAAAAAAGTATTCTCTCTCTGTTGCATTTATTGTACTGGGAACTCAGGCTAAATCCCTTCTCCTCCCCATCAAACTTTCCACTTGGATAGTTAAATGTGTGCCCCTCTGGTTGGAGGCTTTACAGTAAGAATGTTAAGGGCATTGGAAACTGAAGAGGAGAATATTAATTGTTCAAGAGCAGCTCCTTTGTTTTACAAAGTGAAGCAGTCAACTTCACACTAATTTATCTTTTATTAATTTTCTTTTAATCTATTTATTAAATAATATAGCGGCAAATCACAATAAAAGTCATCTAGGGACACTTTACATATAGCAGGTCTAGACTGTACTCTTTGTTAGAGACCAAATATGAATCCACCAATGAGCAAGACTCTGAAACTGTGGCAAGAAAATACGTCCATTAATCAGGCAGAAAC